TTGGAGCGTCGGAAAGCCGAAAATGCGAGAAGGCCAATTTCCTACAAACACTTTTTTGAAACATCTGCGATTTTGGCCTCTTGGAGCTCTCTCGAGAGGCTTCTTGGAGCGTTTTTGGACCCTCTTTGGGCGCTCTGGGGTCGTCTTGGAACGATCTTCGGGCGCCTTGAAGCACTCTCGGCAATGCGAATACGGCGTAATTTGCGGAGGTTTATGGCTTCGGGGACGCGAATATTGCATAATTTAAAAGGGTTTGTTGCCTCGGGGGCGCGAATAGGGTGTAATTTACTAGGGTTGGTGGCCTCGGGGGCGCGAACATGGTGTAATCTACGATGATTATGGCCTCGGGGGCGCGAGTCTCATGTATTTTTACATGTCCCACGCCACCCCAGGAATTCTGGCAACGCGATCCAGGCGTGGTACATTGATCCGTTTGGGGTCACCCCCCTCGCGCGGACAACAACAACTTACGGTAGGAAGCAGAAAGCAGGACTGCTACATTGGAGACTTGACACTGGCGCAGAGAGCAGCAACCTCGTCCTACAGCCTGGTGGCCTCACAAGGGGGCCGGCGTATGACAGGAAGCGTTTTCGAGGTACGGGAAGCGAGCTGGACGTTGTGGCTGAATCTGCAACATATCTAATTATTTCTGATAGGGGGTGGCGGATTGCACAGCGCCATTCGTTAACCGATCCCCCAAAATTGGGAATTCGCTTGAGACATCATCGCAAAAATGCGATCTTTGCAACATCGCGTTTAACAAAGACAAGCGTTTCGCTCGAGACATCCTCGAAAAACTGAGATCCGCGAAATTCAGCGTTTCGTCTGAGACATCCTAGCCAACCTGAGGTGCCGACGGAGGTGTATCTTATGTTGAAAAGTACGTTTTCGCGAGGGACGTCATCAGAAAATGAGCGGCAGCACGGCGGATCAGAAAAATGAGCACGGCAGACAATTTGCATTTCGTTGGTTCGTTGGGGACTTCCTCAACAAAAATCGGATGTTCTCAACATCGTCGTGACATCGTTCTTGAAGTGCTTCAAGATTAAGAAATGAGAGCGCAAAAAGGACCTCAATATGGCTCCAAAAGCGCCCTGATGACTGTCGAACAAATTACGATTTCGCTCGGGACATCCTCAACACATGAACAAAAAAACGGCATCGTTTTGAAAACTGCTGTTCTAGCATCGTCTTGGGATTCCTCTTGAAAAGGCTTCCAGGCGGCCCAAATCCAGGCTTATAACATGACGATTTCGCTAGGGGCATCTTCAAAACAGAGACGTGTGTGACATCGCATTGGCATCGTTTTTGATGGCATCGACACGGCCCCGAACGAGCCCCAAACGAGCCCCAATATGACCAACAGAGCGCCCTGAAGAATCCTCAACATGCGCATTTCGCTCGATACAACCTACACGCAGGAGCATGGCACACCACATAGGAACACGACGAGCACGCAGGACCACGGCAGAACATGCAGGAACACGGCAGAATAAGCATTGGCACGGCAGAACACGCAGGAGCGCGGCAGACCACGGCAGAACACACATAATACACAGGAGCACGGCAGAACACACAGGTACACGGCAGAACACGCATGAGCACGGCAGAACACACCGAACACAGGAGCACGGCAGAACACACAGGAGCACAGCAGAACACACAGGAGCACGGCAGAGTACGTAGGAACACAGCAGAACACGCGGCTGCATACGTAGGAGTACGGCAGAACTCACAGGAGCACGGCAGACCTCGTAGGAGCACGAGGAGAACGGCATAACACACAGAAGACATAGGAGCATGGCATAACACACAGGAGCTCGGCAGAACACACAGGAGCGCGGGAGATTACACACACACACACGCACACACACACACACACACACACACACACGCACACACACACACACACACACACGCGTAGGAGTACGGTAGAACAAGCAGGAGCACGGCAGAACCCACAGGAGCGCGACAGAACATACAAACCACATGGGAGCACGGCAGAACGAGCGGGAGCACGGCAGAACACACAGGAGCACGGCAGAACACACAGGAGGGCTGCCGCCTGCAGCGGAGCGGCGCCAGGTCCGTTTCGCCGTTGCAGAGGCGCCGCAGGCAGCAGAGGAGGACGCATGCCCAGCGCCGAGCGCCAAGCGGCCGCGCCTGGAGAGCGCCCGCTCGGCAGGCAGCAGCGCAGCCGCCCTCTCGGCCAGCGCCGCTGCCTTCAGCATCCTGGGACACGCCCTCGCCTACGCCTGCTCGGGAGAGGGGGACGGAACCCAGGAGCTCGTGGCGTGCACCAAGTGCGGCGCCTACATGACGCTGGGAAGTCGCAGTCGCTCTGGCGTGAGGCCCCGCCTCAAGGAGCGGTGCCCTGGCGACAAGGCCGACAGAGGTGGCAGGAACCAGCGCAGCCTATGGCTTCGGGGACTCCACCCTGGTGGCAGGAGGCAAAAGGGGTCCCGCACTGCCAGGCACAGAGTGAAAAGGAGAAGGCATCCCTGCTCTGCGCTCGCAGGGGCCGCTGCCTGAGCATGCGCAGGAGCAGTACCTGGAGTGGCTCGGCATTGCGGCCGAGCCAGAGGTCGGCCCTTCTGCTGCGGCGAGCTCGGCACGCAGCGCCTCCACGGCGGCCGCAGCGCCCACCGTGTTGCAGGGCCCTGTGGCGGCGACCGCGGTCGCGCCCGCGGCGGCCGCCAACGCCAGCCAGCCCCTGCGACGGCCAGCTGCGGAGCGGGCGGCCCTCCTCGGGGCGTTCGGGGTCACCGAAGAGGAGCTCGCCGCCGCGGCCACGGCAGCGGTCGGTGCCCTGGAGGACCGCAGGGTACGCCGCCGCATCGCCCGCCGCGGCGATCAGGCCGTGGGTGAGTGAGTGAGTGTAACAGTGCATCGTTGTGGCCTGCGCTTGCTGCTCCCATAGGTGAGTAGGCTTCCGCCGCCCGCGGTGCCCGCCTGGCTCGGCCTCTTTCGGGGACGCGGGCCCCGTCTGGGCCTGCCTGCGTTCTGGCCGCCACTTGCCTTTAAGGCCCCGTCTTTAACTGTAACTTTAACTTTAACACACAGGAGCACGGCGGAGCACGGAGGAGCACGGTTGGACACGCGGCAAAACGCGCAGCAGTACCGCAGAATTCATAGGAGCACGGCAGACCACGCAGGAGCACGAAGCGCACGGCAGAACACACAGAATACATAGGGGCATGGCAGACCACACAGGAGCTCGGCAGAACACACACACAGGAGCGCGGCTGATCACACAAACGCACGTAGGAACACGGGAGAACAAGCAGGAGCACGGCAGAGCACGCAGGACCTTGCTCGTCGGCGTGCCTGGGCTGGCGGATCAGGTCCAGGCGGTAATCCCGGCACTGGCTGCGCTTGTGCGGGGGGAGGAGCCGACCTGGTTGGAGCGGCTACGGCGCAACGTGGAGCTCCATGCCGAGGCCGACGGGGTGCTGTCGATCGCCCCCGCTTCGGCAGCACCCCTCAGAAAGGCCCAGAAGGGTCAACGCCTGGGGTCGCAGGAGAAGGGTGCCCGCAGTATGGGCGACCACGGCGTTTGTGTCTCTCGGCTTGGTGGCCTGGACATCGACGTGGAGATCTGCGTGGCCGAGCCGCTGCCGGAGCTCATGGGCGGTCTGCCGCTGCGGAGGCGCACGCCACTGAGATCTTCGGCCGAGCCATATTGTTTGCACGTCTTCGAGGGCATGCGGTGTACTTGTGGCGCCCTCGGGGCGCAGAAGGTCCCTGGAGGTACTGCAGGCTGTGCGCCGCTGCCTCCCGTCTTGGGACATGCTCGTGCAGAGCTTGGTGCTGGCGGTCGTGCCAGCGTGGACGGTATGGCTGATGCCAGCGATGCTGACTCTTCGAGGCCGTCTGCGCGTGGGCCCGTCGAGTTTGCCGACGTCGTCGTGCCGCACCTGGACGGGTGCTGTGTCGTCGGCGACGACATCGTGGAGGAGCCCGTGGGAGGTTCGGCCATCGAGCACGCCGTCGGCGTGGAGCCCCTGGTCGCGGACTCCGTCGGCTGCGCCGCGGGCGATGGCCACTCGGGCTCGGAGTGCGGGTTCGTTTCATTCCTGGACGACTTCTCGGTGGCGGCGGTGGCGTGTGCGGCCCAGGGGCCGAAGTCGGGAGTTGAGTCACTTCTGGACTGGGCCGAGGCCCGCGCCCTCGGTTTCCGCCTCGGCAGTGCAGTTTGTCCAGATGCCGAGGAGCGCGTGCGGCTCCTCGATGGTCTTTTGGTCCGTGCGCGTTGCACGACGCGGCCCAAGAGTAGTGCGTGAGGCGGGCAGTTGCATTCTGTATGTAGATCTGTTCTCGCCTTGCGGTGCGGCCGCGGTGGAGGCCCAGTGCGGCGCCCGCGGGGAGAGGCGGCCCTAGGCGGCCCCTATCGGGAGGGCGTGTCTCGGGTGGCGCTTGGTGCCCCTGGAGGCCCCTCGGTCCCTTTTCTGTCCTTTCTTGCCTTGAAGGCCCCGTCTTTAACTTTAACTAATACACAGGAGCACGGCCGAACACATGGGAGCACGGCAGAGCAGGACCATGGCAGAACGCGCAGGAGCACGGCATAACACAGAGGAACACGGCAGAACGCGCAGGAGCACGGCAGAACACCCAACACATCTATTCACACAGCCGCACGCACAAGCACATGCACACAGGCTCACGCACACACAGGCGCACGCACACGCACACGCACACACACACAGACACAACCACACGCACACACGCACACACGCACAGACAGGGAGGCAACATACGTTCACGAAGACCGCAGGAGCACGGCAAAACAGCACGGCACAACACAGCAGTGCCGCAGACCACCACGTACGGACGCACATGCACATATTCCACGCGCGCACGCGCACGCGCAAACGCACGCACGCCACGACAGACTTGCGCAGCGCACGCTAAGAACGTAGGATATCTCATAAGCCCAGGACGCAAAAGGACGCTTCCCGTTCTTGTCCGGTCGGGTTTCTTTCCGTAGCAGTGGGGCTTCATATAGCAGACGATCACGGCTATGCGCGAGAGAGAAGCCTGGAGAGAAGCAGGCTGGAGGGTCGCGTTGGAATTCAGCAGCAAGCTGATTCCGTCGAAGACTTGTCTGACACGTACGAGGGAGGGCACCTCGACGGCGCACCGGACAGCGACGTCTACGATTGAGAAGGCCTCACGGCCAGTGTCGCCGACCCTGAAGACGACGATGAGGAAGACGAGGAGGAGGAGGGGGAGAAGGAGCAGGAGGAGGAGGAGGAGGAGAAGGAGGAGGAGGAGGAGGAGGGGCGGAGGGCGCGGTGGAGCAGCAGGAGGGGGAGGAGGAGGATGCGGAGGAGGATGAGGAGGGGGACACGGGCCGGGGGAGGACGGGGGTGGAAGGAGCAGTAGGAGGACGAGGGTAATGGGAGTCGGAAGAGCAGGAAAACAAGGAGGACGTGAAGGAGGAGAAGGAGGAGGAGGAGGAGGAGGGGCAGGAAGAGGAGGAGGATGGGAGGGACGAGGCCGGGGTAAGGTTGCGGAGCGCCGGGGGAAGCGCACGCGGGCGAGGGGGGTCCACGATGAGGAGGATGATCAGGAGGATGAGGATGATGAGGAGGAGTATGCGAAGGAGGGGGATGACGAGGAGGAGGGAAAGGGTGAGGAGGATGAAGAGCAGGAGGAACGGGAGGAGGAGGATGCCGTGGAGCAGGAGGGGGAGGACGAGGAAGTGCATGCGGAGGAGGATGAGGAGGGGGAGTTGGGGCAGAAGGAGGTCGAGAAGGGGGATGAGCACGTGGAGGACGTTCATGACGAGGCGGAGGCACAGGAGGAGGGCGAAGAGCAGGGGGCGGAGGGGATGCTTGTCGGAGTCTCTCCGGATCGCTTTCGCGGGCCTCTGGTGGGCAGTTCGGGGGCGTTTGGGGAGACTTTTCGGCGGATCTCCAAACCCTCCGCGGGTGGACAAAACTGGACACTCGTGGGCGGAGATCCGAACCCTCCGCGGGTGCAAACAGCGTCGACGACGACGACGCTGAGGTGGGTCAGAGTTCTAGGAATGCTTGTCGGGTTGTCTTCGGAGCGCTTTCGAAGGCCTCTGGTGGGTAGTCTGGGGGCGTTTGGAGAGACTCTTGGAGGGCCTTTGGGAAGCCTTTGGGGGGCCTCCAGGGGCCACTCTCCCGTCTGGGCACCCTCTTCGAACTGTCTTGGGTGATGCTAAACATGTGTTGGAGGCGTCTCTGGCCGTCTCGGGGCCCTCGTGGGCCCTTGTGGGCACGTCTTGGAGGACTTTGGGCCGTCTTGGAGCGATCTTGGGGGCCTCGGGGGCTGTCGTAGAGCGTCGGCGCGGAAGAGGGGAGGACGCCAAAAGCTTGCAACAACAACAAGGAAATTGATGAAATATGCCTCTGGGGGCTTTCTTGGGAGCGCTTCTGGAGGCCTCTGGGGGCGCTTTGCAGGCCTCATGGGCCTTCAGGAGGCCGTGAAGGCGGCTTGGACAGATCGTTCGGCGATGCAGAGCCTTCTTGGACCGTCTTGGGGGCCTCTTCGGGCACCCTTGGCCCGTCCTGGTGCGTTTGTGGGGCCCGGGACCCCCCCGGAGGGAGGCATAGCTGGGTGGCGAAACCCCCAGGACCCCTCACGGGACCCCCTCCCTCCGACGGGGGATGGATCAAAGGGAGGGGGCTTCCCTGCGATTGAGTTACGACGGGGGAGGGGTCAACAGAAGGGGGCTTCCTTTCGATTGAATTGCGACGTGATTCAATTTCGTTTTGACTGGCGCGTTTGGGGAGGAGGGCCCAGGAACAGGGAGGGAGCGGCGACGGGCCCAGGGAAATGGGGGCCGCAGGGACAGGATCTGGCAGAGACGACGACTAACGAATGACGGAGGGGACGAATAGCACGGACAAGCCCCTCACACACGCCGACAGAGTCGGCGGATTCTGCAACCGGGGATCCTCAGCGACGCGTCGGCATCCCCGGCATCGGCTTCCCAAGAGGTGGGCGTGTTGCCGTCGTGCTCCGAGGGGCCAGCTTTCGCGGGAAGGGTGGCAAGACTCGCAAGAAGGTGGGGTGTGTGAACGACACGGAATCCCTCGAGAGGCAGGGAAGAGCCACGGACTCGCTGGTGCGCAACGTGATCGCGCGGTTCGAGCACTACGGCAATGAGGTGGACGTCGTCGTGACTGACCGGGAATGCAACCTTACTGACGAGAGGATTGTTTCTAGGATCGGGAGGGAGCGCGTCAAGGTGCACAGCCAAAACGCAGGTGGTTGCCAGAGAACCAACATCATGTGGGCGATCGGCCAGCTCCGAAACTACAGTGCTGAGCATAACATGCTCGGCAGCTCGTGTGGGCCGTCGAACAGTTCGTGCGTGTCGGTCGAGTACAGTTTGGTCCTCGTCGTGCGTCATGACACCGTCTGGCAGGTGCCCATCGACCAATGGCCCGATGCAGATTTCAGGAAGGTCTTGTTCCCGTACCACTGCCCGTACCAGGAAGGCGTGCATGATCTGTTCGCGATCATGCCGGGGCCATACCTCCAATTCTTCTACGACGCTCTCAGATGGAAAATGTGTTTCGGTAAGCAAGACGGACACAATTGCATGAAAGGCATGGTGCAACAGACAAATCGAAGCAGCGTGGGTGTTGCTTTGCGAGCACCGTGGGCTGGCGGGAACAAAACGCTCAATGTATTTGATCTGTGGTATACGTATGGCAAGAAGCGACAATTCTGTTGAGTTGTAGTGACATTCTGACTGACTGGGTCCCTCATGTCTCGCCCGCGCTTCGTGACCAAAAGTCGAATCTGGACCAGCATCGGCATCAGAAGCAGCAGCAGCAGCAGCATCATTAGGGGGCCCTCTGAGACCGTCTCGGGGCCCTCTTGGGCCGTCTTAGGGCCGCCTTGGGCCATTTGGGGGGTCTCATGGCAAGTTTTGGGACGATCGTGGCTCAAGCTTAGCTCAAGGGCTCAAGGGCTCAAGGGCTCACGGGCTCAAGCAAAGTTCTGGTTCAAGACCACAGAGCTCGCATCGTCACCACGGGAGCCGGCCGAAGCCGTTCTGGTTCGCAAAGAAGAAAACGGCAGATTTCATCTTATGGACGAACAATCCCGGGAAGGCTTGTCCGAGGGGAGTTGTCCTGTGGGGTTGTCCGGATGCCCGCTGGGTTGTCCGAGGGGTCGTTGCCCCGGATGTCAGGGGCGTTGTCTGGGGGGTTCTGGATTGGATGGTTAGGCGTAATTAATTTTTCGGAGGTGCGGCGCGGATCTTTGGAATCGGCTATGGACCCCCAGCGGCGCCTCAGGCGCCGCCGTTGGCGCGCTCCGCGCGCCCAGCTCCGATCCAAGAAATCCGCGCGGACCTGCAGCAGCTCTTCTCTGTGTGCAGCTCTCTCCTGCTTCTAGACCCGCGCGGACCTGCAACCCCCCACCAGCGAGACCCTGCTCGTGTCCGTCTGGTCCGAACGGGCCGACCGCTTCGTCGCTCTCGTCTCTTGCCCTCGCCGAAGGCCGCTCTGGTTTTCCTCGCGAACGATCAGGGAGATTGGCCACATCGCGCTTCTGTTTCCCTCGCTTCTAGACCCAGCTGTCTGGCTCAGGCAAGCCAGAGCCACAAGCGAGCAGTCCTTACATATCCTCTGCAGCGCGCCCGGGGCCCATGGGCCCGCAGCCGGGGCCCCGCGGGGCCGCGCGCCCGCTGCGCCCCGCCTCCGGGGCACTCCCGGCACTCCTGGCTGTGCTGCTGCCGTCCACGTGTGCGGCCGTCAGCGTGCAGCTGGCGTCTCGTCGCACACGCATGGGCGACGTGGACGGGCGGGGTCGGCCGCGAGGAGCACGCTAGGCGAAAAGGTTTGCGGACGTGCGCGTCGGTTCTGGAAGGCGGGGCTCGAGCCAAGCGGTGTTTTGGCAATTTCGGGGACCGTTTTCGCTTCGGCTTCGTTCTGCAGCCAATGTGGAACGAGGACGGAACCAGGGATGACGAAAGCAAGACGGAAACGGAAAACGCTGTTTCACTCGAGCCCTGCTCGAAGGTCCTCTGGCCTCGGGAGGTCTTTCGGCGGCCGCGCCTCCTCGAGAGCGCTCTGTGTGGGTGCGCGGGGCGTGCCGAGCGGCCGGCGGCAGCCCGAGCCACGGCCCGAAGCCTGCCGGGGACCTGGCGCGTGCAGTCAAGGCGCTGGCTGTAAGGACCGCTTCTCAAGCAGCGGCGAAGCGTCCTGGCTTGCCTATATCGGAGGGCACCAACTATACACCTACACCGATCCAGCCCAGGCCGATCCTAGGCCCAGGATGGGTGTATATGCATTCCGCCCATGGCAGGAGGGCGTATACCCCGATCCTGGGCCCAGGTTGATCCTGGGCCGGGATCGGTGTTGGTGTATAGTTGGTGCCTCCCTACTATAGCCCTACCAAGCAATGTTCTGAGAATCCTTTTGTGGTCTCCTCGGCATGTTCTTAGAGCATTGCTGGCGGAGTCTGGCTTCTTTTATCACATCGGGCTTCTGGTCTGAGAACATTGTTTTTGCTCTTGGAACATGTTTGGGCTCTAAGAACATTTCGTGGCAGGATTATAGGAATGCCGGGACGGTCGGTCCCTGCTCAAGTACAGTCAAGACTCGGGGAAACGTAAGACTCGAGTAAGCCGGAACTCGGGTTTGCCGACTGTTTTTGACGAGCGCGTCCTGGATTTTGACGGTCCAGTTTTCGTGGGATGTTTGCAGCAGGAGTTCGCGTCAAATTTCAGGTCAGGCCTCGTCATTTCCATGATGGCCTCGTCAGGCCAACCCGAGTCCCCCGTACCCGAGTCTTACGTCTCCCCGAAAGACGCTGGATTAAGGATCGCCTCGGGCTCAGGAGGGCCGCGATTCTCGGGCCGCTCCCTGGATCCAGGTCGGGGCAACGTCCTCGAGGCCCTCGAGGCCGAGGCTCGCCATGGCCCGAAGAGCCCCTCTCGTTCCCTGTGTGGCGCTCCTCCTGGGAGGGCGAGGAGGAGGAGGAGGAGGAGGAGGAGGAGGAGGAGGAGGAGGAATGACTGTAGGCTGCCCGCGAGGGGTCGCGCGTGTGCGCCCTCTGTACGCGGCACGCCGCGCCCGCGGCCTTCACGGGCCACCGCGCAGGGTCGCCGCGTGCTCCTGCGTGCTGCGGGCAGGGTCCACGTCCACGTCCATGGCATATGGTCAGAGCCCCGAATCATCAGGGGTAACTCGGGTCAGGGATAACTCGGGTTCGTTTTTCGGGATTCCGAACCCGAGTTACCCCGGACCCGAGTTACCCTGGATATCTCGGGCGTCCAGAGCCCCGAATCATCAGGGGTAACTCGGGTCAGGGATAACTCGGGTTCGTTTTTCGGGAACCCAAACCCGAGTTACCCCGGACCCGAGTTACCCCGGATAACTCGGGCGCCCAATATGGGGATTTCTGGGAAAGGCCAGGGCACCCTCGAGGGCGCGAAGTTCTCACCGCGCGAAGCGCCAAGTTTGATTCCCCTGCAAGGGGCGCCAAAATGCCGAGGCGTGGTGGATAGGAATATGAAGATCTAGTCTCTCCAGGTCATGCTTTTATCCACATCCACTGCGCCTCGGGCGTCTGAGATAGGGAGACCGGAACTCCAAGATGCAGTGGATATGGTTAGGCATCTTGCCTGCGCGTGCGACCCCTCTCTCTCTCCGTCGCGCACATCAGGCCACACGGCTCACACACAAATTCTTCACGACACGTTTCTGCTGGGAGCGACGCGCAGTTCCTCATGCAGGCCACCTTTGGCCCCACCCGCGCCAGCCTGCAGGAGCTGAGCCAGACGACGATGCAGTCTTGGATCAGAGCACAGATGCAGGCCCCCATCGGGTCGCACCGCGAATACTGGCGCAAGCGCGTCAACAGCCGGTTCGTCGACTACCCTGATGTCGGCTCGCCGCGATCGCGCTGCGCGGTGGGCTCCCGCTGGCACTCCTTCGCGTTCGCTATCGTGGACAAGGGGAAGTGGGTAAGCATTACGGGCAACAAGATTTACGTCGACGGCGTACACCGGAGCGACATCGACCCCGGCTATTCTGGAAATGGCCTGCCCCCCCCCGTCAACTGCACCGACGAGCCGACTGCTAGCTGGTCCAGGCAGGGGCGCCCCTGCAGCGGTGAGAAACTCGTGAACCTGTGCAATAAGGGGACGTCTGGCTGGCTCACGAACAAGTATTGCCAGCAGAGCTGTTTTGACCAACGCGTCGGATACGATGGGGACGACTGTTCTGCAGGGTGGGCTTCCCTGGAAGACGCAGGTTATCTCTGCGTCGTGACGGAGAAGCCGGGTGGCTTGGTGACGCTCTCAACATCGGCATCTTGCGATGTGCATCGCGTCTACTCGAATCCATCCATCTGGTTCTCCTCCCCTCCGGGCGACTCCGGCGCGAATCTGACTTTCCAGGAGCTCCGGCCTGGAGTCGTCACGCTCGCGCAGGGCCACGGCGGCGAGCCCTGCGACCTGGGCCAGTTCGTGTACCACGGCGGCCAGCCCTACCTCGCCGACGCCAGGCTGGAGCTGCTCCAGAACGACCTGGCCTCCCCCTCGGGGGGCGAGAACGTGTGTCGCGCCGTGCCAAGGCAGGGCTCGGGCTAAACAGTGCCTCCCGCTTCCGTTGTCGTGTTCGTTCTCCGTCCTTTTGGAGGCGAGATCGACCCGAGAAGGGCCCCCGAGAACGGCCCACGAGATCGCCGAAGCACCGTTCAGCTCGAGCCCTGTCAGGACCTTCCTCAACGAGGGCAGCTGCCAGCTGCGCACGGCGTGCGGCGCGGTGGAGGTGGGGGGCGTCAGCCCCCCCTCGAGCTTCGTGCTGGACGCCGCGACCTTCGAGCTCTTCCTCAACAGGTCCGAGAGGTACGTGTACGCGGTCGCGGGTCTGGTCGACGACAGCTCGCCCTGCGGGAGGCGCTCGCGGTGGCGGCCGCTGGACTGCAGCTCCGAGGACTGCAGCGCGACGGCACTGGGCGCCGCCGAGGCCGCCGCCTTCTCCTCGGCCCTCGCGCGGGAGGCGGGCAGCCTCCGCGACGTTTACGTAAGCTGCGAGGGCGTGGCGGCGGGGGCCGTCGTCGCCAGCGGCGGTGACTATTTCGTGCACGTGCACTCCAACTACCACAACGTCTACGACTTCACACACTGGGTCAGCGCGCACCCGGGCGGCACGGAGCCCATCACGCGGTGGGCCACGGGCAGCTTCGAGCTCGAGTTCCCGTCCTGGCACCCGATGGGCCGCTGGGCGACCGCACAGACTTCCCTGGACTACGTCGGGAAGCTGGGTGACACCGTCAGCTTCGAGGCCCTGCCCGTGGCGCTTCAGGCCGCCTGGACAGTGGGCTACGAGTCGTGCGGGTCGCCCGGCGAGGTGGCGAACGACCCGAGCTTGGGCCACCAGTCCTGGTTCTCCGTCGAGTTCAGAGGTATAGAGAAAGACGATGATTTCGAGGTGCCCTATTCGAGGGCTAACCACAGGCAGTCTAAGTCCACGGTGTGGACCACAATGGCGCTGTATGCGAGTGACCAGCTGCGGCAACGGGCAGCCTGGGCGTTGTCTCAGATTATGGTGACGAGCTCGAACGGCATCGGCAGCAGCTTCGGTCAAACGGAGTTCTGGGTCACCTACTATGACATCTTCGTGCGTAATGCCTTTGGGAACTACCGCGACGTACTCAGGGAGGTCACCTACAGCCCAGTCATGGGCTCGTATCTGAGCTTCAAGGGCAGCAAGTCGCAGGATTCCAGTGCGGCTTTCCCCGACGAGAACTACGCGCGGGAGATCATGCAGTTATTCGACCGCTTCGTTCATTCCGCCTGCACGAAGAGTGTCATCGTTGCCATGTGTTGCGTTGCCGTAACAATTCAGGAGTCGTCCGGTGGTCGTAGTTTGGCCGACATGTTGCGCGAAGCTCGCGGTAAAGAGGAACAACCGTTTTCTCAGCCGCTGGGGAAACCTTCCGGGAAACATTCGAGGGAGGAATCAGGAGAGAGAGGGTGAGGAGAGGGAGGAGAAGCAGGACGCCGAGGGGCGGGAGGCATCTTGGGGAGGCTCGTGGGGCCTTCCGCTCATGCATCCTGAGGAGGAGCATGAGCAGGAGAAAAGTGCAGACCCATCCCGCCACCGTGCCTGGCCTGTGGGTCAGAAGCTTCTTGGATCAGATTAGGGTGTCTTGGGATACCTGCGGGGAGCCCCTGGGAGGGTTCTCGGGAGCCTTTCTTGGGGGCTTCTCGGAGGCCTGTGAGGAACCTTCGTGTATCCCTCTTGAGCTGTCTGCGCCGGTCTTTGGCGTCTATTGTGGGTCATTTTGTCCCTTGCATGTGCATACGCCACTGCGGCCAATTATCTTCGTTTCGCGCCCCGAACGTCACCCCGCTTCTTGACCTTCGCCACGGAGCCGCCGACCAAAAAGTATCCCTCTTGGGGGCTCTTTGGGGCCTCCTGGTCGCCTCCTGGTGGTTTCTTGGGGGGGTGGCTGGCGGACACGGGGGGTCTTCTTGGGGCAGTTGGCTCGAGCTGTCTGCTCTCTCGGGCTGCCTTGGGGGCTTCTGGGCACTGTTGGGGCTCTCTTGGGCTGTATTGGGCCTTCCTTGCGGGCAGTACTTATATCCATATCCAGAGCGTCGTGGACTTTTTGGGAAGAGGTGCCGCAACGCCGAGGCGCACTGGATATGGATAAAATCAAGCCTCTTGGGGCCAGATGTTTATCCAGATCCAGTGCGTCTACGGTTTCTGGGGAAGAGAGCCCAAGAATCCAAGACGCACTGGATGTGGATATAACTATTGCCCGCATTCCTGGGGGCCTCGTGGGTCATCTTGGAGCGATCTTGCAGGCCTATGGACTGGTGGGCCTGGTAGAAGCAAAAACGCTGAACACCGCCAACACACACCAGAACAATTCAGAACGGTTGCCTCTCGGTGCCTTCCTTGGGCGCTCTTGAGGCGTCTGGAACCATCTTTGGGCCGTCAGGAAGCAATGTTTTGCATCTTGGGGCGCGCTTGGGCCGTCTCGGATCCTCGTGGGGCGTTCCTGAAGCGCTCGGGGAGCCTTCCAGGCCGCGCCCAGGAGGAGAATCATGTCTGAGCTAGGGTTTCGGGGACTTCTCGCGGGGTGCTTCTCGTCTGGGAACACCTAGGGACCGCCCCGCGCGCGAATATACATCTAATGGTGGACCGGGCCCAGGGGACCGGGGGTCACGACCACTGTGTCAAATGTGGGGCCCGGGGGTGGGGCCCGCCTTTGGAGGTCCCAACAGCGCCCCGAAGAGCGGGCCGACGGGCATCACGGCGCCCCAAGACAGTCGCGAACCACCCTCAAGATTGCCTCCAGGGGTGTCCGACGGCTCACGAGGCGTCTCGAACGGCCTCCGAGGCGTCCAAGACGCTGTTGAACCCCTCCAAGAGGTCCTCAACGCACGATTGGCGTATTCGCTTCTTCGGTCCTCGTACCGTCCTTCACGACCTCAGAGGCCCGCAAGATCGCCCCAAGACGGCCCAAGAGGCCCCAAGAGGGCCCCAAGACGGCCGAAGAAGGTCCCAAGAGGGTCAAGAGGCGCCCAAGATGGCCCAAACAGGCCCCAGAAAAGCCCCAACATGAGCCCAAGATGAGGAACTGCAATTGAAATTCCGATCCCCCCGCCAAACGAGGACCCCCGAGGCCCTCAAGAGGCCCCCGTGAAGCCCCCAAGAGGCCCCCAAGAGGCCCCCACGATGCCCGCGATAGGCCCAAGAGGCCCCCTGGGGGCCTGCAAGAGGCATCCAAGAGGCCCCAGGAGGCCCCCAGGAAGCAACCAGGAGACCCCCAAGAGGCCCCAAGCGGGCCTCTGAGAGACTTCCCAAGAAACTGTAACATACATCTACGAGAGGCCTCTGGCCCACAACCCAGGCCAGTTCCTGGGGCGCCGCCTGATCGGCACAGGTGTTGTTTGTATGTGTATATGTGTATGTATGTATATACGTACGCATGTGTGCCGGCACGCGCGATGGTATGTCTGTGTTCATGTATGCGCGCATGCACAAGAGGAATCACTTGGCCTGGCGAAGGGCCTACCCCTGGGCAGTTGCGTGTAGCGCAGGGCGCGGCCCTCCCTTCAAACACTGCGCGCCGCGGGGCAGGCCGTGTGGGGGGTCGCCGTGGAGCTAGCGCGCACAGGCACGCCGAGCTTCCGGCGGGGTGCGGCCGGCGCGAGGCGGGCGGCCGCTGCGCGAGGGCGCCCACTGAGGCTGCAGCTGGCGCTCTTCGTGGAGCGCGATCCGCGCGTCGCGGCGCCGACACGGGCGCGGGGATGCCACGCGAAGTTGTCACTGGGTGCCATACGGTCCTGCTTATGATTAAGAAGCCTCCCCTCCGAAAAGCTGGCCCAGCGTTTCGTGACCAAGCTGCTGGAAAGCTGGCTCAGCTCCTTGAGGGGATGGACCGCCGTGGATCCTAGAGATGAATAGCGTACGTTCCTGGCTCCAAAAGCTGGCCCAGCGTTTCCTTATGAAACTTCTGCAACGCTGGACGCTGGCCCAGCTTTCTTAATTGATAATGTTCTTAATCATACGTTTGACTGTAGTTGGTGATCCTTGCGGGTCACGCGCCGCGTCAGGGGTGTGTCTAAATATGCGGAGGGACGCCATGCGACCCTTGCTGTTGGAGCCGTCGGTGGGGCTCCCTATGGGGCACGATCCGTGTGAGGGGTGTGCCGAAATCGGCGTGACGCCGCCATGCGAACCTTCTCTCGGGGACCGTCGGTGGAGCTCCCTTTGGGCCACGATCCCTGTCAGGGGTGTCCCACTATGGGTGGAGCGGATGCGAGCCTTGTCTTTGGGGCTGCCAGTTGAGCTGCCTCTGGGACACGATCCGTTCGAGGGGTGAGTCGGCATCTGCGGGGGAACGTTATGCGAATCCTCCTCCCAGTGGTGTCGTACGTGGAACTCTCAGTGGGGCACGTTCCGTGTGAAGGTTGTGGCGATATGGGCGGAGGGGCGCCATGCGAACTTTCATTCTGGCACCGTAAGTGGAGCTCCCAGGGGGCCACGATCCGCGTGAGGGGCGCCGCAATTGGGCGGTTGACGCAGTGTGAAGCCTGCGTTTGTCTGGGGCCGCAGGTGGCGCTCCCTGGAGGACACGATCCGTGTGAAGGGTGTGCCGAAATGTGCTGGTGGACGTTGTGCGGGCCCACCTGCCTTCTTTGCCTTCCTTCGTTCATCTTGCCTCCAGCCGCCCCTGCTCGAGTCTTTTCTCATCCTTCCTGCGGCCTGCATCCTCGCTTCTCCCTTCTCCCTCTTCCTACCCCTTCCTCTGTCCTTCGACGACGACGACGACGACGACGACGACGACGGACGACGGACGACGGACGACGGACGATGGGCAACGGACGACGGGCGACGGACACTGGATCACGGACGACGACGACGACGACGACGACGGCGACGACGACGACGACGGCGACGGACGACGGACGACGGACGACGGACGATGGGCGACGGACGACGGGCGACGGACACTGGATGACGGACGACGACGACGACGACGACGACGACGACGACGACGACGACGACGACGACGACGGACGACGGACGACGGACGACGGACGACGGACGACGGACGACGGACGACGGACGATGGGCGACGGACGACGGGCGACGGACACTGGATGGTGGACGGCGATGACGACGACGACTGCGGCGACGACGACGACGACGACGGCGACGACGACGACGACGACGGACGACGGACGATGGGCGACGGACGACGGACGACGGACGACGGACGATGGGCGACGGACGACGGGCGACGGACACTGGATGACGGACGACGACGACGACGACGGCGACGACGACGACGACGATGACGACGGACGACGACGACGACGACGGCGGCGACGACGACGACGCCGACGACGACGACGGACGACGGGCGACGGACGACGGACGATGGGCGACGGACGACGGGCGACGGACACTGGATGACGGACGATGACGACGACGACGACGACGGCGACGACCACGACGACGACGACGACGGACGACGGACGACGGACGATGGGCGACGGACGACGGGCGACGGACACTGGATGACGGACGACGACGACGACGACGACGACGACGGACGACGGACGACAGACGACGGACCACGACGACGGACGACGGACGACGACGACTGATGACGACGACGACGACGACGACGACGACGGACGACGGACGACGGACGACGGACGATGGGCGACGGACGACGGGCGACGGACACTAAATGACGGACGACGACGACGACGACGACGACGACGACGGCGACGACGACGGACGACGGACGACGGACGACGGACGACGGACGATGGGCGACGGACGACGGGCGACGGACACTGGATGGTGGACGACGATGACGACGACGACTGCGGCGACGACGACGACGACGACGCACGACGGACGACGGACGACGGACGATGGGCGACGGACGACGGGCGACGGACACTGGATGGTGGACGACGATGGCGACGACCAATGCGGCGACGACGACGACGACTGCAGCGACAGACGAC